ATTCCTGGGCTGCAAGCCCTCAACAAAATGGAGTAAGTCTGGTTCACTCCCAAGATAGATGGGAAAGTTCTCACTAACTTCTTGCTTGACTAACTCCCTGGGAAACAAATAGACTATGCCTTGACTGACCTTTAAACAATACCAGGTGGAGAGAATACTGAGACAAAGATGTATGAATACTGAGATAAAGATGTATAGAGGAAAATATTAAAACAAAAATGGGCAGTGCCTGTGGCTCAGTGAGTAAGGCTGGCCCCATATACCGAGGGTGGCGAGTTCAAACCCAGCCCCAGCCAAACTGCAACAAAAAAATAGCCAAGCATTGTGGCAGGTGCCTATAGTCCCAGCTACTCAGGAGGCTGAGGCAAGAGACTCACCTAAGTCCAAGAGCTGGAGTTTGCTGTGAGCTGTGACACCACAGCACTCTATCGAGGATGACAAAAGTGAAACTCTCTCTTAAAAAAAAAAAGTATGACGTGGCTAACCGCAAAATCCTGCTTTCGTACAATGCTTACTTGCTACCCCACCCAAATGCACTTGGATAGCCTGTGTGCCAACCAGGATGCAGACCAACCCTTAAAAACCCAGCCCCTTAAGCACTCAGGGCTGCTCTCTGAAATCCTATGTTGGGACACTGAGGCCAGCACTTTAAAGGATTCTGCTGTAAATTTGGTTTCTTTGGCAGCGTGGTCTTTGTGGAACTCCTGGGCACAACAGTAAGGGGTGTCTTTTGTTTTTTTCAATTGCTTTTATCAATATTATGAATTTTACTAAACATCTTTCACCTCCTTTGTCAAGTTGAATCGTAAGTATTACATACTTTCTGATGCTTTTGTTAATGAGACTTTATGTATAAAAATATAAATCACTTTTACATGTTGATTTTCTGATGTGGGTGCTTTTGTCAGTTCATTTTTTATCTATAGTCTTTGGAGTTTTTTAAATATAGAATATCATCTCATGTGCAGGTAGAGACAATTTTACTTCTCCATTTCTATTTTGAATATTTTTTCTTTGCTGATTCCTCTGGCTCAATCTTCCAGTACTATGCTGAATAAAAGTGGTGAGACTGGGCTTCCTTGTCTTTTTTTTTGATAGAAGATTTTTTTTTTTGAGACAGAGTCTCACTATGTTGCCCTGGGTAGAGTGCGGTGGAGTCACAGCTCACAGCAACCTCAAACTCTTGGGCTTAAGCGATTCTCTTGCCTCAGCCTCCCAACTAGCTGGGAGTATGGCGCCCACCACAGCACCCAGCTATTTTTTAGAGATGGGGGTCTCGCTCTTGCTCAGGCTAGTCTCAAACGTGTGAGCTCAGGCAATCCACTTGTCTTCCAGAGTACTAGGATTACAGGTATGAGCTACCCTGCCCAGGCTTATTCTTTAATTCAGAAAAAAAGGTGTAGATTTTTCACTCTCCTAGCCCTAGTCAATGGAGGACTGATACCCATCAACCTTTAATAGCATTCTGTAGTGGGAAATGTTTACATTTTTTCAGTTGGTAAAGTCACAATGTCATTGTTTACTTTTCATTTTCTTTACATAAAATTTAAGATAAGGTGTATTAAGCTGGGCATGGTGGCTCATACCTGAAATCCTACCACTCTGGAAGGCAAAGTGGGGGAGTCATAGCAAACCCATCTGTCCCAAGTATACACACAGGAACTCAAAGCTCAGCAGCCCATCTGCCTGCCTGGCCCAGACTACTCTGCATCCCCATCTTTAGTGCACAGTGAGCCTCTCCCTATGCAATGCAGACAGAAGCAGAAGTTTGGCTTCCTGAAGAATGTTGTGCAAATTTGAGAAGCAAGCCCCCTACCCCATCTCCCCAAAAGCCTGGAGAAAGCTACTTGCCCACATGATGGACCAGCACTGGAACCAGAGACCTGTTAATTCTGCCTGTTTTGTCACCCCTGCTGAACAGTCCAACTGCCACCACCACGTCCTGTTTCCAGGTCCTCCTGTCCCGCTCTTCCAACCTGTCTGTGGACGACCACATCTCTCTTCCTGTTAACCTACAGTAGACATGCCTGGTGACATAGTCTGTAAGTAAACTTTCAGTGAGAAATTTAAACACACACATACAACTCTGACCCACTCCACCTCTCCCCATTCTTGCTCATTTCCTGTAACTTCTTCTGTGGCAAGAATAATAAATATGGGAATAACCTGGAGGTGAGCAAGTTCAATTCCCTTTTGAAAGCCGAATGGATCCAGACTGCCTAAAGTTCAGGCTCTTCTGAACTTTAAGGGCTCCATGGGACTGGGGAGGGACCTGTGTAGAGGCTGAAGCGACTCCTCCTTGGATACTAGTACAGCATGTTGACTTCTAATTAGCCCCTGCTGTGAATGCCTCTCAGATTTTTACTTTATCAACTATGCTTTATGTAAGAGCACATATTAACATAAATACTGCCCTTGGGTCAAAACCCTGATGTTATCACACAAATTACAGGCACTGGCATTTTTGTCTTCTGGAAGGTGAGTCAACTTTAACTGTCCTGCATGTTAACATGTATACCCTTTTCCTGGAGTATATAAGCTATGTATTTGGAGTGTAACAGCATGAAAATCCACCTATCTTTTTGTTACACGTAACTATGCACCTGCCTATAAATTCCCCAATAAATCACCCTTTACTGACAAGTGGATTTGCCTGTCTCTGTCTTTGGTTGCCTGGTACCTTCTGCACTTTGGAATCACTTTGCATGTGTGAACATTTTACACACCAACTGGCCAGCTAGCCAGCACAAGCCCAGTAGCCAAAGAAAAAGAGAAGTGAAAAGGTGGAGAGGGAAATCTATTTGGGGTGGTGTTGCCCATTTGTTAGGTGCTTGTGGGTCACTGAGTGAGTACAAGGATGCCCCTAAAATGACTCAGGGCATAGGGAGCATGTCACTCACACATCCTCTTATACAGCTTATGCTTGTAGGGCATCAGCCGCCCCACTGTAAAGTGAGAGCATGTGATAGCCCATCTACATCCACGTTGAAAGATAATGAAATCATAATATTACTTACTTTAAATAGGCAGAAAGTTAAAAAAAAAAAAAAAAGACAGGATTCTGTACCTTGGAGAAATAAGATTTGTGAGAAATAAATTTGATATACAGTAGAGAACCTAAGTTTGCCTTGGGAATTTGTAAGATCTAGTTTGCTTATAAATCAGCAAGTCTTTTGAAATTATGTTCTGATTCACTATTTTCATTGCCTTCTGAAGGTAGTAGGTAGGATAGACACATACACACGGATTTTTCTTAGTTCTCTTGTATGAAGTTTAATTTTAGCTTGATATATGTATATTGCACTCAGTGTAAATCAAAACACAGTAATCTTTATGTGCTCACTTGGCCCAGATAAGAGCGATGTGCAAAGGAAAATATTGGGGAAAACTGAATGAATATTTAGGATTTAAAGGTATTAATTTAAATTATATTCCCAAATAATCTTTATTATAAGCATCACAATATTTCCATAGTAATAAAAAAGAGAAAATGATACAAAATTGCAAGTATGAAAACAATATTCTCCAAATTATTAGAACTTTAGGGGCTTTGGGAAGAAGAGATTACTAGAGAAGTCATTCTACTGTGTTATGCAATAATACATTATTTTCATCTGTTAACTACAATCTTGGACACTTTGACATTGGTGGCAGGGCAATACTTCATTCATCGTACATAAGGGTTACAAGCAGTCAAGAAACACTTTTTTTTTTTTGCCTAAACCAGTAATCTTAAAATTATGCTCACTTTAAAGGGTAAGGCTAATTATTCAGTGCACCTTGATTTGAGTTACATATACAACCTGTCCAACAGGAGTTATCTTCCCTTTCCTCTGATATCTTTAAAGATATACTTCTTTCTGTCATATCAAAACAATTCAATATTTCTATGTTCTCTATCACATCAAATAATATTCAATATTCTATTTCATTCTACTATAAAGATATGCCAGTATGTTAACTGGCTAGTGTTTGTTTTTGTTGTTTTGTTTGGTTTGGTAATAAGGAGCAATTCATAAAACAATTCACAGTGAAAATTCAAAATGTTTCTCTCTTACTTTAACACAGAAAAATGCCCTGAATACATACTGTATGCTTACATGCATCATTATTTTATAATTAAAGCACAAAATCATGTTTCTTTAGATTTCCTTAATGTATTTTACACTTGCCATTAAACTTTCAAGGAAAAAACTGGTATTACATTTACCTAATATTGAATGGCCTCTCATACCTCTCATGGAGAAACAGGAGATGACACATTTTCCTATAAACACTATAAAGTAGAACATCATGTAATTTGAGAACTGAATTACATCACAATGATAGTTGCTTTTGAAAATTTTCAAAAACCATCAATACAATATACCCACTGAATATAATTTTACCTGTCTATAAGTCAATGTTCTTGCTCTTTTGAAAACTATAGCCAAGGGTGGCACCTGTAGCACCTGTACCTGAAGCAGCTAAGGCGCCAGCCATACAGCAGAGCTGGTGGGTTCAAATCCAGCCCAGGCCTGTCAAACAATGACAACTACAACCAAAAAATAGCTGGGCGTGGTGGCATGCACCTGTAGTCCCAGCTAATTGGGAGGCTGAGGCAAGAGAATTGCTTAAGCCCAAGAGTTGGAAGTTGTGAGCTGTGACACCACAGCACTCTACTCAGGAAAATAGCTTGAGGCTGTCTCAAAAAAAAAAGAAACACAGCCAAATAAATTATCTAATTGCTTTGACTTCCCATTATAAAAGGAAAAAAAAAGAAACACAGCCAAATAAATTATCTAATTGCTTTGACTTCCCATTATAACCCCTATGGCAAATACTCTGGGTTAAATTTACAAAGTATACTTTAGTTTTTACTTAGGTGAATCCCTTGATGCACACAGACTTATGTTTTGATTATACACATGTATATGGCCCCACATTTATTACAACAGTAAAGTGTATTTTCTTATGAACTGCATGGTAATTTATCAAAACTCTTTTGACATATATTACATCTACAGAGTTTCTGTAGTGTGAATTTTCTGATGTTGAGTGAGTTGTGAACCACGGTAAAAGATTTTGTCATATTCTTTACATTTGTAGGGCTTCTTTTTTGTATGAATTCTCTCATGTTCTCTAAGGCTTGAAGACTGGTTAAAGGATTTACCACATTCTTTACAACTGTAGGGTTTTTCTCCAGTGTGAATTCTCTGATGTCGAGTAAGGTGTGAACTACAGTAAAAGGCTTTGCCACATTCTTTACATTGGTAGGGTTTCACTCCACTATGAATTCTCTGATGTTGAGTAAGGTGGGAACTACGGTTAAATGTCTTCCCACATTCTTTACATTTGTAGGGTTTCACTCCAGTATGAATTCTCTGATGTTGAGTAAGGCTGGAACTACAGATAAAAGCTTTGCCACAATCTTCACATTTGTAGGGTTTTTCTCCAGTATGAATTCTGTGATGTTGTCTAAGGATTGAAAATCTAGTAAAGGATGTGCCACATTCCTCACATTTGTAGGGTTTCACTCCAGTATGAATTTGTTGATGTTGTTTAAGGCCCCCCAGCTGAGCAAAAGATATGCCACACTGTTCACATTTGTGGGGTTTTGCTACAGTATAAATTCTCCTACGTGGAATACGATTGGAACTACAGTTAAAGGCTTTGCCACATTCTTTACATTTGTATGCTTTTTTCCCAGTACCAGCTCTCTGATGTTGAGTATGGCTTGAACTGTTATTAAAGGCTTTACCACCTTCTTTACACTTGTAGCGTTTCTCTCTAAGATGAATTCTTTGATGCACACTAAGATTTGAGGAGCAAGTACAGAATTTACTACCTCTTTTAGAATTGTGAGGTTTTTCTCCAGTATAAAGTTTCTGATGTTGCTGAATTTGTGAACTCCTGTTAAAGGTTTCACCATGTTCTTTACATTTGCAAAAGGTTTTTTCAGTATGGATTACGCTATGTTTTCTTTGACTGGATGACTGAATAAAAACTTTCTGACATTTGTTACATCTGTATGAATTTTCTCTAAGATGAATTCCCTGATTTTGAAAATGTTTCCCTGATGGGGTGAAAGCTTCCATACATTCATTACATTTGTAAAAATACTCCGGAATGTGGATAGTCTCACTGCTAATAAACTTTAAACCTTGATTAAGGACTTTTTCACATTTTGTACATTTGTAAGGAAAGTCTGGATATTGAGATTTCTGATATTTTCTTAAGCAAGAGTCTTGGTTCAAGGTTTTTTCAGGTTCATTGCACTGATAATTTTTTTCACCAAAATAAATATCTTGGTAATTATTTAGGGAAGAGTCTTGGATAAAAGACATCAAAGTCTTATCATATAGGTAATGTTTTCCCCAATTATCTATTCCTTGATATTGATTAAGCAATGACGATTGGGTAAACACCTTATCATACTGATCACAGTTATAAATTTTGGTACAAAATGGTATTATTTGTTGGTGGAAGAATATGAAACTTTTTATAATGGATACATCGAATTGATCACATTTAAATATATTCTCTTCAATCATAAATCTCTGGTCTTCAGAAATATTTGACTGAACACTTAATCCAATCCTATATCCAATATCCTGAATTTCTCTAGGGCTTTCCAAAGACTGGGTATTGCTTCCTTTAGTATGTAGGGCTGAAAAGAAATGTACATATACTTTAAATCACATGTTGAGTCTAGTGAGCACAAAGATCAATAACCATTACAGCAAATCAGAAAGACTGCAGAACATACAGAATTATCATGGAAGGAAAAGATTAAGGGCTTTTAAAAATTTTTTTAATTCAGACAGAGTCTTACTCAGTCATCTGGAGTAGAGTGTGCCCTGCTAGTCATAGCTCCCAGCAATCTTAAACTCTTAGGCTCAAGTGATCCCCCTGCCTTGTGGCTAGGACTATAGTCATCCACCACAATGTCCGGCTAGGTTTTTTTCTATTTCTAATAGAGATGGGGTCTCGATTTGCTCAGGCTGGTCTTAAACTCCTGAGCTGAGGTAATCCATCTGCCTTGGCCTCCCAGAGTGCTAGACAGGCATGAACCACCATGTCCAGCTTAGATTACAGGCTCTTATGAAGAAATAGGCAAACCTTTCTATTTTCTTTTTCTTTTTTTGAGACTGAGTCTCACTTTGTCACCCTCAGTAGAATGCCATGCGTCACAGCTCACAGCAACCTCAAACTCTTGGGCTTAAGTGATTCTCTTGCCTCAGCCTCCCAAGTAGCTGGAATGACAGGTGCCTACTACAACGCCCAGTTATTTTCTTGTTGTAGTTGTCATTGTTGTTTGGCAGGCCTGGACCCAGTTCAAACCCGCCAGCTTTGGTGTATGTGGCTGGCGCCCTAGCTGCTGAGTTATAGGCACCAAGGTCTCCCCCTTTTTTTTTTTGACAGAGTTTTACTTTGTCACTCTCAGTAAAGTGTTATGGGATCATAGCTCACAGAAACCTCAAACTGTGGGCTCAAGCGATTGTCTTGCCTCAGCCTTCCAAGTAGCTGGGACCACAACACCCAGCTGTTTTTTAGAGACAAGGTCTCACCTGGCTCAGGCTGGTCTCCAACTTGTGGTCTCAGGTATTCCACTCACCTTGGCCTCCCAGAGTGCTAGGATTACAGGCATGAGGCACTGCACCTGGCCCAAACCTTTCTAACAGAAAAAAAAAAACATAGTACTCTATAAAAGACACATCCTTCCAACACTTTGGAGAAGTGCCCAGAATGTCTAGTGTGGCTACATAGGTCTAATTTTTCCCTGCATAAAATCATGCACTAAAGGATGAAACAGGTAGCTGTTTTTAAATGACAAAAAGCTCAGCAAAGATTACAAGACATCAAAGAAAGCAAGCTATACAGTCTAACAAAAGGACAAAAAAAATTCAAGTGGCCCAAATAAGTACGAAGTAGTTATTTTATTATTATTACTATTTTAAGACAGAGTCTCACTTTGTTGCCCTTGGTAGGGTGCCATGGCATCATACCTCACAGCAACCTCAAACTACTGGGCTCAAAAGATCTTCATTTTTTTTTGAGACAAAGTCTCACTATGTCGCCCTCAGTAGAGTGCCATGACGTCATAGCTCACAGCACCTCAAACTCTTAAAAATGCTATATTATGTTCTTTGCATGGTTCATAAAGCAGGGTTAATTTTTAAAAGAAGTTGAAGTAGATAATCAGAGTCTAATTCACCTGACTGGAAACATTAAATCATAGTCACTGGGCATATAAGATTTACCTTATCAATGAACAAAACGTTAAAACAGAAAAGCCTCAGCCCAGCATACCTTAAAAGAATATAAATGGGCAGTAGAATATAAATGTCTTAACATAGTAACTAAGAAAATGCCATGAAGGATATGTTGACCCGTTTGATGAAAACATTTCCAATTGTATGTAAAACCAGCACATTGTATCCTGTGATTGCATTAATGTACACAACTATGATTTAATTAAAAAAAAAAAAAAAGCACACGGAAAAATAAAATAAAATAAAATAAACACAGAAAAACTAGCTGGGCATTGTGGTGGGCAACTGTAGTCCCAGCAACTTGGGAGTCTGAGACAAGACAATTGCTTGAGCCCAGGAGTTTGAGGTTGCTATGAACTATGACCCACAGCACACAACCCTAGGGAGAATGGGTGAGACTCTGTCTTAAAAAAATAATAATTATGGGTGGCGCCTGTGGCTCAGTTAGTAGGGCACCAGCCAAATATACTGAGGGTGGCAGGCTCAAATGGCCAAACTACAACAAAAAAATAGCCAGGCATTGTGGTGGACACCTGTAGTCCCAGCTACTCAGGAGGCTAAGGCAAGAGAACTGCCTAAGCCCAAGAGCTGGAGGTTGCTGTGAGCTGTGATGCCACAGCACTCTACCGAGGATGACAAAGTGAGACTCTGTTTCTAAACAAACAAAAAAAAAAATTAAAAATAAATAAAAATAAATTTAAAAAAATAATAATTATATAGAATCAGTGAACTTGATGAGAAAAATAATTATTACAAATTAAAAATAAAGAATTTCTAAAATCAAACAAAAACCTTAATAAATTTATATCCAAAATACACACCCTACATGAAATGCCACAGAGTCAGTTCTTCATACTGAAAAGTAAAATATGATTTACATAGTTAAGGTAAATAAATATATAAAGTTCTGTGGTAAAGATGATTATATCCTGCCGGGCTTGGTGTTCCCGCCTATAATCCTAGCACTCCCAATATGGGAGGATTAATTGAGCTCAGGAGTTGGAGACCAGCCTGAGCAAGAGCAAGACCCGGTATCTACTAATATAGAAAAATATAGCTGGCCACTGTGGAGGGCACCTGTAGTCCCAGTACTCAGGAAGCTGAGGCAAGAAGATCTCTTGAGCCCAAGAGTCTAAGGTTGCTATGGGCTATGATACCAGGGCACGCTCCCCAGGATGATAGTGAGACTGTCTCAAAAAAAAAAAAAAAAAAGATGACTATATTCATACATACACTGTTCTGTGTTATTACGATGATACATAAAATACTTTCAGTTCTGCCGTATATTTGAAAAGACAAATCTTTAATTAACCATACATTTCTGTTTATGAATATACTATTCAAAAATATGTACTTTGTGCCATCAAAAGTATGTAACTGGGGATGTGCAAAGGCAGGGCTTTGTATGAAATTAAAGTTCTCAGCTTAAAATAGTTGGTTATAACTTTCAGATGTTTTACGCAGTATCTATGCTAACCACAAAGAAAAAATCTATAGTAAATATCCCAATGCCCCTGGCATTTGTAAAATAAAAATTAATAAAAAATATAGTAGATACACAAAAGAAATGAGAAAAAAATCAAAACATGTCACTACAAAAACCAACAAAATAGGGCAGTGCCTGTGGCTCAAAGGAGTAGGGCGCCAGCCCCATATACCAGAATACCAGAGGTGGCGGATTTAAACCCCAGCCCCCGGCCAAAAACTGCAAAAAAAAAAAAAAAAAAAAACCCCAAGGAAAATAGTAAAATAAAGTAAGAACATAATACCCAGAAGACCTATAGAAATAAATGCAATAATGAATCATTCTATTTTAGTCATTATTTTCTATGTAAATAAATTCAATCAAAAAAATTTTTTGGAATTAATATAACAAACAAGATCTAACTCTATACTTTCCACAAAAGACCACTTTAGAAATAAGAACACAAGGTGGGTTGAAAGTGAAAGAAGAAAATTTATTGAATTCAATGTCAAATAATATCACATTGACAAAATAAATATTACATGAGAAATTGTCAAGAGGGGCAACAAAGACTATTCCTCGAGGATAAAATGGTCCATTAATCAAGAAGCTATATAAGTATTAATCTAACATAGAGACCTACTACTGTATCACCCAGGTACTTGAGTGTGAAGCAACCTTCCACAGAACTCAAGCACGAGGCAGACAGTACAGTAATAGTGGAAGAATCTGATACCTCGCATTCAATATTGAAAAGAAAGAAACTGACAGAATAACAAAAAAGAAACAGAAGACTTGGCCAACACTGTATCTTATATACAGCTAAAAGTTATGGTCTGAAGTTGCCACCCAAAAACACAAGGATACACACTATTTTTTTTTTTTTTTTAAAAAAGGCCCCAAGCTTTCCCCCGGGGTAGAGTGCTGTGGCATTACAGCTCACAGCAACCTCCAACTCCTGGGCTCAAGCGAGTCTCTTACCTCCGCGTCCCAAGTAGCTGGGACCACAGGTGCCCGCCACAA